AAGATAGCAAAACTACACTTTCAAGTCTAACACAGTATAGCTCTTTGGAATAAAGTATATAAACAACCTGCTTCTAGCTCTAACAAAGGCTTCGACTAATTGGATTCTTATCTATTGCAACACATGATAATCTATATGTCTAAAGATAGACTTTAAAGTAGTGCAAAACGTGCGCACGACTTTATTAGAAATCAGTTAGCCAATCATTTTAATTATCATTAAATTGCATCTGTATAATACGTGAGTACATACAAAAAATTTTCGTCGTCTTTTGAAAAACCTCATATTTCGCTATAAACAATCTGCTGTTTTTTATTTCACAATAATCACAACTACTAGTGATTCTTTAAATCAAAGCCATACAAAAATTATAAAAATTAACAACGTGTCTTCAAATAAGTACTCATGGCGGGTAATATGAATATGATACAAATGAAAGATATGAGTAGTAGTAGTAGTTTCACTACTGCTGCTGTTTCACCTCGAGAACAACCTTTGATTGCCTACTTGTCGAAAAAAACATCTGCTACTGCAAGCAAGAGGGAGTGCTATTATTACTCTACCTGTAAGTTATGTTTTAACAAACTGTTTCGAATGCGATCATAATTTTATGTCCTAACATGGAATTTATGTGACAAAACAGTGGGCAAAAAGGCCGGGTGGTGTTCCTGTAAGTGTTTTATCTAAATTATAAAATTACAAAAATTTTTTCTTTAATTTCTGATTTTAACATTTATACACATCTAATACATATTAATGTAGGACATGACTCCCGAATTTTTCTTGAACTTAGAAGAGCAAGGCTTCCTAACCCGTGATAGTGGCAGTATCACGGTATTAGGAAGCCTCTGGTGGAGGGGTGAAGATGATAATAATAATAACAATATATATAAAAAAAACAAAAAAAAATTTGTAGAACAAGTTTTTCGCGGTGGTGCCCCACATATTGATTATTTTTTGACGATAGTATCTGTGCAACAACATGATTGTAAATGGGAAGGTTTTGTTATGAACCGTGTGCTATTTTTAAAGGGCCACGGTTTAAATGTGGTGGAATTGAAAGAGAGGTACATTATTTTTCTATGTTTTGTTTATTTTTTTGTTTTTTGTATTGTGTTTATTATGAATTTGTTTCAGGATATGAATCGTTTATTTCTCTCCAAGATCGCTTCATGCAATTATTAAATTGAATATTTTTTACGCAAAAATGTTTTCATTTTTTATCATACAAGCAAGTTTCTGGTTATCTATACAGGTTCTTGTGTTGTTGATAATGAAGCGATCAAGGTGATACTTTATGAAAATTATGATTCACATTCTGTTCTAACTTTATTTGATTTTTCGAATGTATTCCTCGCGCTTGCACATATTGCTTTGCGCCTGTGTTGTCATTTCCTGTTTTTTCATATATTATAGCATTGTTGCCATCCTTGAACTGGCGGAAGAATGCTTAAAATGTAATTCTTTAGTTGTTTGTCTCGACAAAAAATGTACTCATTTATGTAAGCATATCATTCATTACTATATTGGTTCTCTTTTTAATTATCTCAAATTTTTTATTTTTTTTTATATTTTACCATTAGCTACACTCATTCGTAGCTTCTTATACGTGGGATTCGAACTTGTTTTGCCTGGAACTTTTAATCACAATTCCAGTGATTTCCTTCTTGTTGGCATGGAATTGTGATCACGATTACTTGTTGATCGCACGATTACTGTTCATTGATTCTTTCGGACTAATTATATACTTGTACATTATATATATATATATTTTTCGCAGTCTTACATCATGTTTTTAGTATCATTTTCCTATTAAACCTTCGTTTCATCTTTTATACATTAACATATGTTGACTTAATCATTTCTGTCAAGTGAGTCATTTGTATATATGTTATCTATTACATGTGTGGTAACTATGAAAATATGAAGATTTCTTGTCAAATTTTAAAAATTCATGGTTAATATGTCCACTTCCAAAATTTCTATTTACTGTTTATCACAGTTGCTTTGTAAACATTGCTACACAAAACTAATGTAGTTACGACCAACAGGGGGAACCGTTGATACGTCACAAAATTGTTACACAATTGATGAAAATTTTTTTTATATTATTTTACAATACTTTTTTAGAAGGCTCGCTTGACTTATCTTTTCTATGAATATTGAAAATTGTTAAACAAACATGAAGCTCTCACTTTGCTTTACAACATATTTTTTGAATCCCTTTGAATCCCATGGTTTCATCTTTTTGTAAATTTCGCAATTTGATTGGTTGACTAATCCTGTAGTGATATTTTGACTGGTCGATACAATAGTGTTGTTGTCCGCCCAAGTCGTCGGCTCGGCCGAATAATGATGGGGTAAATTATTAAACTTAGGCGTCGCAACAATCTTGTCACAATAGATTCTCAATTTTGGGTTATACACAAATAATATGATTCTCTTACAGCTATTTTCATTATTGCTGGAACAACCGATACTCGAATCGATAAATTACCGACTCAGAATTGATAGGTTACCTTCATTGGCCGACATCAGAAACTTATCATAATTTTTAGTTGTCTCAAAAATAATGAAAATAGCTGTAAAAAACTTTTTTGAATTTTGATCAAATTACATGATAAATATTAGATCAAATTTAATAAATATTTTAGGAAAATTACCATATTTCTGCGACGTGTGTACCCCCCTGTGGGCTGTACCCTGCGACGATTTTGGATGCCAAACCTTGATTTATACCCGGGTATATAAAGTGTGAGGATATCATACTTATATGCCCGGGCATGTAATATTAAAACATAATAAAACCATAGAAGTATTCATACAGTATATCCCCATATGAATACCCACATGTCGCAGAAATACGGTATATTAATATATATTAACTATATACTTTATATATAATAATTATTATATATATAATATTTTAATAACTATTACTGTATTATATAGTATTTAATAACTAAGATAAAAAAACAATTTAAAACCTTACTTTCGAAGCAACGCCCAGGTTCTGAGAAATAGTCATATTAAAAACTTTGTTATAGATTATATAAATCATATTAAATACTATTTTTTTTACAGGTCATTAAGATCATCGGCCAATACTGAAACAACTTACAATATATATATATTTTAATAATTTGTATATAAATCAGCATAATTATTATAGCCGAGCCTCATTAATTCCTGGCCAGAGGTCAAAATACCAATAATGCTGGTCTGATCACATGCAGGACTATCTGATTTTGTATAGTTAATTGACAGTCTACGAATATTCAACTAATTTCTGGCTAACCGGCACAAAATTTGATAGTCAAATACTTGTGAGTCGGACATCAAAAAATCGCAGATTAACCAATACTATATATATATATATGTATACACGTATATATGTAGTATTCGATTATTTGATGTCCGAACGTGTCTGACTATCAAATTTTACTTTAGACAACGTATTTTATTTTACTTTGCAGATCTTTTCTCCTGAAATCGTCCAAATAGGAAAAGAGAAAAATAGCGTAATATCTACACTATAATGTCTAAAATTGATTAATTTTTGTATCATTCGATTCATCTCAATAAGAATTGAATGGTACTAAAATTGTTTGATTCTGATTAGGGTTCTGAGGGGGGGTCTCTGATTTTCTTACGTAGAAATGTAACTTTATAATAGCCAATCAAAGTTCTCTTACGTGGGGGAGGGGCAGGGACACGGAAAAATTCATATATATATAGATATGAATAAACTGGAATTTTTAGTACAAATGGAATTTTTGACAGCAACGAACTTTTGGGCAAAATTAAGAGCAGTATATGTTTAATTTGGGCCAGGTAAGAAAATTAGAAACATCGGAAAGTTTCAGAAAAGTTTGGAAGATATCAACAAATATGAAATGGGCTAGGTGCTGAGAAAAGAGACCAAATTGTCAAAACAAAAGATCTTCAGAAAATCAATTTTTATGTTGTAAATC